TTACGAGGAAGGTAGTTCAGTTGGTTTGAATTACGAGAAAGTGGTTCCAAGAGGTAGTGGTGGTGAGTGAGCCTGATTTGGAAATTTTCATTGTTACGATCTGTTTGTACTACTACGTACTACTGGTTATTGTATTTGTAGAACTAAGGAGTGTTTAAATTATATGTGTTTACTATTTCGTGTGTTTAAATTATATGTGTTTACTAGTGGTAGTGTATAAATTATGTGTTTAAATTTATATCTAAAAAAATATTGAAATCAACTATAAGATAAATTATGTTATTTATCTAATAAATATGTTATCATCTAATAAATAATTTTTAAGTAATTAAAAAAATACAAATAATTAAATTTAGTTTCAAACATAATATCAATTATGTTATTTATCTAAATTTTAATTTTCCAAATATATGTAAATTAAATCGATTTCTCCAATACCATTTTCACAATCTTCCATGGATCACAATACACTTTTAAGTATAGTTTGATAGTGTTGTATACCTTATGATGCAAATACTGACAGAAAATGTGATATTCAACATATTTTGACATAGAAACTAAAGAAATGTGTTTTTATTTCCAAAAATAATTTGTACAACTGAAAATTTRKTTTTCAAAGTATCGTAAAACTAAATATTAGYGAAATCACCAAAARTACAACTATTAACAAATATGCACAACTAAAAAACTGGCCGTAAAACTATGTGTTAAATAACGGAAATAACAGCACACACGTGTAAATAACGGCGCACATGTCCTAATAACGTTGCACATGACTTRATTAGGTGGCATTCTTTGATTGGGCTAGACCCATTTTTTTAAAAAAAAATTCAAATATTAAAAAAAGTAAAATTTAAATGATTTTCCCTCATTTTCCATTTCTCCCCCAAATATCTAGGGTTTATCGTTTATCATCTCCTCCTTTGAACGGCGACGGACGGCGACGGTGATCCGAAGCTCGAATTTTCGATAGCTTCCATTTTCGATGGTAAATCAACCTTCCATTTCGATCTTAGTTTGTTGGGTCTTATTTTTAATTTGGATCTTAGTTTTATGGTTTAGATCTTTTCGGGATTCATATCTTCGATTGTAGAAACATGGGTCATTGGAAACACGAGGACATATTCGGCGAGTTCGATACTGGGTCCAACAACAGCAACACATCATCTTCGGATGACGAACTCATCCTTCCCAAATATGATTATATGGCAGATATAATTCCGACTCAATTTGCTCCGAACCCGGTGACATGGGAGCCCTCACCTATTGGTATTCCGACCAGATGTTACTGTGGAAAAACAGATGTGTTCGTCTAAATGAGCTAAAGGAGAGCTCTTTGAAACTTCATGCAAGGCTGACGAATTTGGAAACTTATTTGAGGAGCTGAAGGAGATGAAAGGGAGACGGATTTCAAAACTT